GGCGCAGCAGGTCATCGCCGCGGCGCGGAAGGAGGGCCCCGACCACGAGAAGGAGGTCGCGGACCTACTCAAGCAGTTTGGTATCAGGGCGAAGAAGCAGCGGTGCGGGTGACGCCCTTCACTGCTGCCGTGCGCCCCTCTTGTCAGGCATTCCGCTGTCCTCTGCTGGTGTACCTGTGCCGCCTCTTCGTGGAGGCCCCAAGGTGGCCAGTGGGGACCCGTTTTTTATTGAGACGTTCAACGGTTCGTGTTGGAAGACACTTCGGAGAAGGTTACGAGAGACTTCGGCGGTGATAGTGTGCGCTCAGGAGATAGGCATCAACTTTTCTTTCTTGGGACAAGCGACGGCCTCGGCACGCTCGCTCGGCTTCCACGCCTTGTTCGGCCCCTCGTTCCTGAACGCTGAGACAGGCAAGGTCTCGTGCGGTGTCGCCGTATTCGCACGGCTCAGCATTGGTTTACGATGGCCTCCAGAAGGTCCTGGCCCCGTCGTTCCTGGACGAGCTATCAAGGTTCTGGCGGACTTTCCTGGATGGCCCACGGTGACGGTTTTCTCGGTTTATTTGAAGACATCGGAGGGCCTCAGCGAGGCCAACGTCCAGATGATCGCGAAGATAGGTAAGCAGGTGAATGACCCAACTCATACGATCCTCGCGGGGGACTGGAATCTCACACCACAGGTTCTGGAGGCTTCTGGAGTTCCACGCAAGCTGGGGATGTTGGTTCTGGCGCCGATTGAGCACACGTGTCGTACCCCGTCTACGAACACACTTATTGATTTCTTCGTCATGGGCCCCGGTTTGTCTAGATTGATTTCTGGAGTTGCAGCGGTCATGTCTTGGGATGTCAAGCCCCACAGACCTGTCCAACTCAAGGTTCGTGCAGATGCTCTTTCCCTCAGGCAGCTAGTGTATCGTAGCTATCAGCGTCTCCCTGTTGATGCGCCTTTCGGACCGCGGCCTCAACCTCCAGCGTGGCAAGGCGCTCTTGCTCATGCTGCGCAGGCAGCGGCTTGGGCCATGCACGAGAAGGCCACGGTGGCCTGGAGTGTTTTGAATAATGCATGGGCGCAGTTTGTGGATGTCGCCGAGCTGGAGCTTACCCGCACTTTAGGTTTCGAGCCGAAAGAGTTGGGTGAGCGTTCGCGAACGATCAAGTCGTCCTGGGTTTCAGTTTTCTATCGCCCGAAGGATCCTGAGGATAAGCTCCAGATCGTTGCTGGTTGGAGGTGGCTGTACCAGTCTTTTCAAGAATTTACCCTGACGGTGCAAGATGCGACCGAGGATGCCGCGCAGTGTTGCATCCAGCTTCAGGTATCGCTCCAGGACTCCTGCCCTGGCGAAGGCCTGTCTGTGCGCCTCGATGCCTCCCTCCGTGCTATGCGCACTCTGGCGAGGAGCTGGCAACACCACAGCAGCTTCCATCGGCAGGAGTGGCTTGAGCTAGCTCAGCAGTTGTTAGAGGATGTTCGTGAGGATTATGAGCAAGCTGGGGCGGATGGGGATCGAATACAGCGGGAGTCGTGGGACCTCTGGCAGGAACGGGCCCTCGCTGGCTCAGCTCGGATAATGCATCGTTTTACGAAGCTGAAAAAGGTTTGGCAGCCGACAGTTATCCAGAGTGCGCCTGGAGTGTTTACTGCGGATCCTCACGCCCTTCTGGAGGAGGAAGCTCAGACGTTGGGAAGATTCTGGGGAGCGGACTTGAAGCCACCTGAAGCCTGGATTCCTGATCGTCAATGTTTCCCTCGGGCCAGCGTTGATGAACTTCGGAAAGCGTCCCTGAGCTTCAGCCGCCACACCGCCCAGAGCTTAGATGGATTTCACCCGCGGCATGTTGGTGCCCTCTCCGACGAGGGCCTCACGTGCCTGGCCGTGCTCTACGAGGCCGTGGAGCGGCTGGGCCTTTTCCCCGCGCAGCTACTGTGGATGCTGCTGCCTTTACTGGAGAAGCCCAAAGGAGGTCTCAGGCCGATTCTTCTTCTGGGATCTTTTGTTCGAGTTTGGGAGCGACTTCGGAGACCTCAGGCTGATGCTTTCCTGGATCGGGCCCAGCGGCCTTACTGGTCTTTTGGTGCGGGGCAGTCTGCAGAGGTATCGATATGGCAACAAAGTGTGAGAGCCGAGGAGACCTCCGAAAAGGGCGATTACACGGCAGGTTTCATTTGGGACGGAATGAAGTACTATGAGTCCTTTCGGCTCCTGTGGCTGAGGGATCGGGCCCTGTACTGGCGTATACCAACGGTTCTCATAAAAGTCTTGTACAACCTCTGGAGGTCCCCGAGAGTACTCCGTCTGGGAGCTCATCACTGCCCGCTTATTCAGTTTGCGCAAAACGGTTTACCAGCAGGGGACATTTTCAATGATGTTTTCGTGAAGGTTTACGCGATGTTCGAGTT